GGTAATCAAATCTATTCCTTCATTAAAAATAATAGAAGTTTGTTTTCACACGTTATTGTGTGGCCCAAGTTACGTTGACAGTATTACTACCTACCAAATCGTTGACATACCAAGGTTACTTTGAATATGAACGATTTTATGCTATCAAAATAGTATGTAGAGGAGAATCTACCGTAAATTAAGGCTGCCACTAGAGCTTTCGATACTTTATTCGGAAGGGCCACTTCTTCTCTGCCATTATCCTTCTAGGTTCACAAAGCACAAATGCTTGGTATGGCTTACGCAGAGCACACTGCTATTAAGTGGGCTGCCGACACCTATAGGCAGCTGGACAATCCACAAATAAGCCAGGTTATCAATTCACCTAATTCCATATTTACTTATTTCTACCATAAAAAGACAATACATCTTTGTTTGATTGCATTTCTTAGTGGCTACGCGATCCATTGATGCAATTCTAAAAGTTGTTAGCCAGGTGAGGTTGGCTCTTTGCCAACGCAAGTATTTTAGTTTTATTTAGTTGAAGTAAGAAAGTGAGGTTTCAACTTGTCTGCTAGCTTTTTTCCTGCATCATTCCTTTTTTTCATACAGCTCTGTTCAGTGCATTGTATCATTCAGTGTAAACAGTGATTAAACATAACAAGAGGATATGCCGTTGTCTGTCAGCATATCAAAACAGAATGGTTTAGGTTTTGCTCCGAATGCCGGCATTATATGGTCTCTACTGTCTTGAAAAACATCTAGCAAGCCTTTATATAGGTAGAGGATTTAACCTTTTGACCAAAAATCTGCTTTGCAATATAGTCTTCTGCAGGAGGATATTGCTATGGAGAAGAATTTGGAGAAGGCATACGCAGCGCAATTCGCCGACTTGAAGATGACCTGCTGCCTGATGCTGTCACACTAGTTGACGCCATTGCTCCACCAGACTTCGTACTTAACTCCGCACTAGGACTCAGCACCGGAACGTAAGTTGATAGCGTGATTGTTGTGTATCCAAATAGTGTATTCAACTTTAGGCCGTATGAGGAGCTGGTGAAAGAGTTTCGTTCTCACACTAATACAAAACCGAAATGGTGGCAGGATCTTAGAGATTTCCTCAAGGAAAATGCGACAAAGAGCAAACTTTAGCAAAGTTTCAAAGTCGAGACAACCTCCTTTACTGCAGTGCAGTTTTTATTCTTTTTTCGCGATAAAACTTTTCAGAGTACATTGAACTTTCTTTTCATGTAAGCATATAGTCAGCACACCATAGTTGAAACATTCTTTCTTTATATCTAGCACCACCATTAACAGAGAATTACATGAGAG